GGTGTTATAATTATAAATAAACCACCCTCTTCACCACAAAAGTGGATAAGCCATTTGCTGTGAAACGTCCGGAAAAGGTATTTGAACGTTCCCTGAAAAATCAATTTTCTTTACATTCACATTCGTGGCAGTTTTCTTTTATTGAATGTGATTGAATTAAGACATTTTGCTACTTATGTAAATAAATTTCTATATTTCCCGGACTCGCGTACGTGCATATAACTAAGTGAAACGCAGACATCTCTTTAGTGATGTCTCGCGTGAACCGTAAATAAACGCTACCAAGGGGCGTAATTAAACAGCTGACGCGGCGAAGGGATCCTTCGCGAAACAAGTGAACATCACGTGTACTTCAGAGAACTGTCACTTTATTCCATCGTTAAGAAAATTCTTCTATACTTCTAAGATACAGATGAAGAGGAGGTGATATATGTCGTTTTGAATACGAACATGTGGCTAAATTTAATATAATTAAAACTACACATCTCACATTTGCACCTGATTGGTAGACAACGTACCTTACAAAGAAATCACACGATGTGTCTTCGTTGAGATCCAGTGTACAGTAAGTTACGTACCAATCAGACAAAAATGTCACATGTGTGATTCCGTTGTGTGAGATTTCACACTAAATGTTCGAAGGCAAAACAGTATTATCTTCGATCCCTCTACAGACTCTAGAAGTTTGTATCATTAATTCTGACATATTATAAATATATAAATAAATTAAAAGAAATGTAACAAAATATATGTAGTATAATAAAGTATTATAATAAAATTAAATAAAAAATAATAAGTATTGAATGAATTATAATTACAAATATTTTTAAGACTCAAGATAAAATATATGAATATAAAAGAGATCTGGTGGATGCAATTGGAACTCAACCAAATGAAATCGAGCAACCTGAAGATGTGAAATGATGACTTCACGTAACGTTGTCGAAAAAAGAAATTATTTCTTAATGCAACCATATTCAATTTAATTAATTAAGACCTGTTTTTAATGTTTTTTTCATTATTTTAATTCTTGAGTGTCTAAAAAAAATAATATAATTGAAGACATAATATGACCAAAGAAAATCTTAAAAAACTGCTCCATTGTGTTTCCTTTAAAACGTGAGACTGAACACTATGTAACACAGTACAGATACACAGTACAACATTTCTTTACATGCAAAGAATATCATAAATGTTGCTGCTCCGTTACACAACATGTGAATATGAAGAGGCGAGCAGTATCTTCCTTCGAATCTCGCAGTGAAATTACATCTGCAGTGACGTTAGCAGTGATTGTGATTATGAGAAATACCTAGGTATGCACAGCAATAGAATAGTGGAATAACAAAACCAAATATTTTCACTTTTCAGTCTACATCGCCATTTTTTGTAACTTTGGGATTTTTCCCGATTTAGAGGATATATAACAATCCAGAGACATCATTCACGAAGCCGGAGGCTGCAGAGTTTTTCGTCAACTTATGCGCATATTAAAAATGGTATTTATTTTTAATTTAATTTATATTGTATTTTATTTATTATTGTTTAATTATTATTATATTATTGTATTTTATTTTTTTATTTTATATTATTTATACTGATGATGAGGACAATGTGGTCAAAAGCCGACTCTCTGAATAAAGCTGAGTTGACAAAGATGGCTTACGTTATTTCGTTCTGGATTACAATATCCGAAATATGTATTTAATTACCCTAAGATAAACATTTTCGGCCTTCCCTCTGCTTTTACAAAGTGAGGATAGTTAGCACAGGCCCAACTAACTTATTACGCAACCCTTACCTCGCTGCTTTACGTCTTCGATGTACTTCTGCTTGGCGTAAAGGCGAACCAGCCCCTTGCTGCTTAGGTCACTGTTTCGTTTTTTCCCTCGCCGTACATTGCATTTAGATTTCAATTTCATCAAAGTCGCTTCTAAAGAATCTACTTCTGGTTCTGCTGATGGTGCTAGTGCCTAAAACAAAAACTCCCAAAAAATAAAATTTGATAGAATATTAATTGGTAAGTGAATGCCATATAGCTGGGTAACAAGTTGATCCTGGTTGACAAGTCGATCGCAGCACATTTTGAAGTCTATCTTTTTTATAATTCGCTCTTGCTTATACTTGATAATAAGATTTTAGTGTATGATAAGCAGACAGACACAGATATAATTAGAACATTTAAGGATTCATTTTGTAGTTATTCTTGTGCATACTTGGGTGTGCATACACAAAACGTATTATCTTGTGCACACACAAAATAACATTTGTGTTTCAACAGGGTTAATGTGTTTTGTAAAAAACAAAGACCCCTATTAACGTTCAAATGGATAGTGATAAATCACATTGACCTTCATGTATAAAGGTAGATCTCATCTGAGTTAAAGTTGCCCAGATCTGCACTCTAATACAGGAAGAAAAAAATAGCGATCATGCCGGATATCGATTGTAAAATCTGTGTTGAAGTTTAGTTGTAACTTTGCACACACGTAGCAGAAAAATCTGATAGTGCTTCCAAAGTAACCACAGTAGAATGCAATTTACATATGAAATAGAACGGGACAATAAGATGACGTTTTAGTTGTTGAGATCCTGGGAATTGATAACTTCATTATCACCAATTAGTATTGAAAACCTACCATCTCAGGAAGGTACCTCAGCTACTATTTCAACCTCCCTAATGCCCATAAAACTAGTGTTATTACAAACATATTGGATAGATTTATCTTACTATCTGATGAGACGTTTCATGATGCCAATATTCAACTGACCAATGACATTTTAATCAACAATGATTACCATTTGGACTACATCAATTCAATTACTAATAAACGCCTTTCAAAAATTAAAGCAGATCAACAAATAGAGGACACCGGTGGAACAGCTCACTCAAACTATCTGGAAGATAAGACAAAAACTATTGCCATCCCGTTTGTCAAGGGCTTATCCTTCCCCATAAGAAACTACGTTTCTTTTTATTTTTTAATTATTTTTTAAATATTTAAGATCGCATCAACTTCTAAGTCATTAGAGACCAACATTGCTTGTAACGGTATGGTAACTGTGAGGATGATACGATATGATGATAGGGGAGTGAAAGGACGAAGACAATACAACCATGGCCGAGGCGGGACTCGAACCCGCGATCCTTAGGTCCGAGATCGCTACGGAACTGCTGCCTCGGCCACCGGATCGGCTAGTTTGAAGTTGTTTTTGGTAGTCATAATAAACGTAACCACATCATCACAACAGGCAGAGACAAACTCAGCAGAGAAAACAGAACCAATGTAGTATACAAAATTAACTGTATTACACAAGGCAGCAATGTGGTTTGTGTGGGCCAAACAGAGCGTTACCAAATTACTAAAGTTGAAGAACACCGCAGAAGCAGTGAAAAAAGTGAGATGATAATGTGATCTCACGGCACATTAAATGTTCTGAACATAAAACGGATTGGGAGAACCCAGTCTTCCTGAACCATGAAACAAACTGGCGAAAAAGACTTATTTAAGAGATGTTAATAAAAAAACACAAATACATTTTACATCATCAACATTATAACATTGGTTGTTAAAGTATAATGTTATAACACTGGCATTTCAGATACTGAAGAGGATTTCACATTAGAGGTCGAAACGTCTAAATATATAGTGATATAAACTGACTGGAAACATCGGATTTTTTATTTGAATGTTCTGTTAGTGCTGTTGGAGCAGGCGGAGA